CGCGCACCAAGGGCACTAGCCCCTCCCCCGCACCCACTCCCCCTCCCGGAGCCTGGGCGCCTGGGCCCCTCGTTTCCCACAACCCTGCTCCGCTGCTGAGCCCCCAACCTGACCCCTTCCTCCCGATTGGCCTTGTGCTCAGAGCTCCTGTGGTCAGAGCTCGGGCCCCCGCACTACGGGGTCAGCGGTTCACACAATTCCCTGTCAGAGGCGTGAGCAACTGGGTTTCAGGTTCAATCCCCCGGTCGGCCGCGAGCGGGAGGCAACCAATCGGTGTGCTCTCCCACCTCCCCTCCCCTAACACTCCCAAAAAATCAATGGGAAAATATCCTCAGATGAATTTGCTTATACAGAGCTGGTGTGTGTGTGTGTGTGTGTGTGTGTGTGTACTGATATGTCAACACAGACCCAGTGTGTGTGTGTGTGTGTGTACTGATGTGTCCACACAGACTCAGTGTGTGTGTGTGTGTGTGTGTGTACTGATATGTCAACACAGACCCAGTGTGTGTGTGTGTGTGTGTACTGATGTGTCCACACAGACTCAGTGTGTGTGTGTGTGTGTGTGTGTACTGATATGTCAACACAGACCCAGTGTGTGTGTGTGTGTGTGTACTGATGTGTCCACACAGACTCAGTGTGTGTGTGTGTGTGTGTGTGTACTGATATGTCAACACAGACCCAGTGTGTGTGTGTGTGTGTGTACTGATGTGTCCACACAGACTCAGTGTGTGTGTGTGTGTGTGTGTGTACTGATATGTCAACACAGACCCAGTGTGTGTGTGTGTGTGTGTACTGATGTGTCCACACAGACTCAGTGTGTGTGTGTGTGTGTGTGTGTACTGATATGTCAACACAGACCCAGTGTGTGTGTGTGTGTGTGTACTGATGTGTCCACACAGACTCAGTGTGTGTGTGTGTGTGTGTGTGTACTGATATGTCAACACAGACCCAGTGTGTGTGTGTGTGTGTGTACTGATGTGTCCACACAGACTCAGTGTGTGTGTGTGTGTGTGTGTGTACTGATATGTCAACACAGACCCAGTGTGTGTGTGTGTGTGTGTACTGATGTGTCCACACAGACTCAGTGTGTGTGTGTGTGTGTGTGTGTACTGATATGTCAACACAGACCCAGTGTGTGTGTGTGTGTGTGTACTGATGTGTCCACACAGACTCAGTGTGTGTGTGTGTGTGTGTGTGTACTGATATGTCAACACAGACCCAGTGTGTGTGTGTGTGTGTGTACTGATGTGTCCACACAGACTCAGTGTGTGTGTGTGTGTGTGTGTGTACTGATATGTCAACACAGACCCAGTGTGTGTGTGTGTGTGTGTACTGATGTGTCCACACAGACTCAGTGTGTGTGTGTGTGTGTGTGTGTACTGATATGTCAACACAGACCCAGTGTGTGTGTGTGTGTGTGTACTGATGTGTCCACACAGACTCAGTGTGTGTGTGTGTGTGTGTGTGTACTGATATGTCAACACAGACCCAGTGTGTGTGTGTGTGTGTGTACTGATGTGTCCACACAGACTCAGTGTGTGTGTGTGTGTGTGTGTGTACTGATATGTCAACACAGACCCAGTGTGTGTGTGTGTGTGTGTACTGATGTGTCCACACAGACTCAGTGTGTGTGTGTGTGTGTGTGTGTACTGATATGTCAACACAGACCCAGTGTGTGTGTGTGTGTGTGTACTGATGTGTCCACACAGACTCAGTGTGTGTGTGTGTGTGTGTGTGTACTGATATGTCAACACAGACCCAGTGTGTGTGTGTGTGTGTGTACTGATGTGTCCACACAGACTCAGTGTGTGTGTGTGTGTGTGTGTGTACTGATGTGTCCACACAGACCCAGGCACAGTCTACTCTAGAACCATTTCCTCCGCCTCCTGAAGAGTAAGCCATGGACGGTCAGCGAAAACAGAAAGCCACAGTTACATCCACATTGAGGATGAGAGAGAATTTAGTCTGTTTTAGCTTGGCTCTTTCTTAAGGAAAGAAACCCAGGAAACAGGAAATAGTTGGACCTGCTTACATGTTAATAGCACCTGCTCCGGGACTTGAGCGCTCGGCCATTGGTACTCTGTGGTCTCTCCTTTGGCCTCTTGGCGTCTGCCTCTCCCAGCAGAGGACCCCGGGGGCTGCCCTATGGGCAGCTGGCCCTCCACCAGCGGGTGCAGATGGGATTGGTTTCCTTGCAGGTGGGGCTGGCTAAGGCCCGTGCCTTTCTGGTGAGAACGCATCCCCTCTCAGCCCTATGGGATAACTTAGCTGCTTGGACACTCGCAGGAATAGAGGTTAGTGAAAGTACAAAATGCCCGGCCCAGCTACAGAGGCCCCGCTGCCTGCCTGTGCCCGGCTTGTCTGCTTTCCTGTGTCCGAAGCGCCTGCCCCACCACCGCAGTGAACTGAGCAACCCAGACCTCCACGGACCTCTTCCCCAGAGACCGACCCCAGGTCCAGGGCAAGGACCGACCGGGCGCCGGCAGCTCCCAGCCACCTCAGCAGCAGCAACAGCAGCGAGCGAGAGCGAGACCCGCGAGTCCCCACAAAGCAAAGGAGGCGACACTGACAGTGTCACACCTTGACTGTGACGGCTCTTCAGCGACTTCGAGCACCTCCACGTCCAACATTGCACTTTCACCCTCAGAAGCCTGAAGAGCCAGAGCCCCACTCGCAGGTTTTCACTGGAGAAGGAAGGAGCTAGGGCCACCCAGGAGTCTCCAGGATTCCTCTCCCTTCGCTCTTTTCCTCTGGGTCTGGTTTTTCAAACTCCCCCTCCCACCCAGAGCCTTAGTTCCAATGTTGCGTCACACGGATGGGCGAAGAGCTCAGCATCATCCTATATAATAAGCTATATAATAAAGGTAATGCGCAAACTGACCCAACGGGCAGAGCAGTCGCCATGACGCACACTGACCACCAGGGGGCAGACGCTCAGTGCAGGAGCTGCCCCCTGGTGGTCAGTGCGCTCCCACAGGGGGAGCTCTGCTCAGCCAGAAGCTGGACTCACAGGCAAGCACAGCCTGTGGGGGAGCCCCTCCCCCCCTCTGCGGCAGCCTAAGGCTGTCTGACTGCGGTTTAGGCCCCAGGGCTTCCGGACTGTGAGAGGGCGCAGGCCCGGTTGAGGGACCGCCCCCCCCCCAGTGCACGAATGTTGTGCACAGGCCTCTAGTATATACATAAATATATGTATCTTTTTTAATCCCCTAGACTAGACCATTGTACAGATTGGGATTGAAAACCATGCGGTTCCCATGCTCTCCCTGGGGGTGTCAGGAAGAAAGTCCCGCCCCACTATTCCCAAGGTGCCGGTGGGCAGCCCTCCCAGCCCCGTGGGTTGCGCGGGTCCCTCCCAGTCCCGTGGGTTGCGCGGGTCCCCAGGGTCGTTTCCTTAGCTAAAAACTCAGCACGGAGACACAGGGTGCAAACGCAGGTGCCTCCAAGTCCAGGCCTTCATTCAGACAGCGCCAGCGCCGCTCCGGCCTTGGGCAAACACAACAAAACCCGGCGGGAACAGCACCGGTCGGGTCCTGGCCCTAGGGGGCA